CCGAGTTATATTCATACTCGCTAAGTCCCTAATGTCACTGAACAGGGGACACGCTGTAAGAACGTGGCCCACGTCTTCTATACCTGTCCCACACCTACAGTTTCGGACAGACCTCTCTTATGCAAAAATGCATTAAGAGAGCCATGCCCCAGACGGACGGACAGACGGACATACTTAAATCGACTCAGAAAGATTGGTGGGTGTAGAACCAATATTTTGGGTGTTACACAACATCAGCACAGACGCATAATATCCTCCCCACTATAGTGGAGTAGGGTATAAAAACAAATTTGTATGTGCTTGCGTGGGTGTGTGTGTGTCTTCACGTCATATTACATCATAAATAATTAAATCTTATTTTTTTTGATGGATTTTCGTTTGTTTTATTATGTTCGTCTATAAATCATGCAATTAATAAAGTTTTATACGTCCTGTTGATTTTATAATAAATTAAGTTGGCAACTTTAATCACAAAAGAAATTGTATTAATAATTTTTTCTTCTTTAAGGGTGGGGAGAAGGAAATTTTCTGTTATTAACCTTTAAGAAGATGTTTAATGTTTTATGGCATTAAAATAAATCTGTGGATCATAAATTATATATTTTTTTTCTTTTATTATCATAAGATTTTATTAAAAGTAGTCTTTTGCTTTGAGCTAATATTGTTTTAATAACTATTATGAAGTTAAATTTTAATTTTATTTTGTTGTGTAATTACTTTATTCTTTGTAGTTTAAAAATGTTTGTTTAAATTTTTGTTTTCTTTCTCACTTCCTTCTAATGTCATTGTCATTTACAACTCACAAGTAATTACGTAAATATGTTAAAAATTTCAACATTTAATTATTTACTTGGAAAATTTATTAAAAGGTACAAAAAGCTCAGCGTGACAATTAACAAAGATTTAAAGTAAATTTAGTTACATGTAAAAGTATTTGCTACAGTTGTGCAACAAAATATAGTACTACCATTATAATTAAGTTTCTGTAGACATTTGAAGATTTATCACACTTTTGTTAGATATTGTTGAAAACAGCAGAATATTTTTATATTCGAAATATAAAACACTGCTACACTTGTATCCCCCTCTATAAATGTTAATATCCTGTTTATTTGTTTTGTTAGTTGTCAATCAACTTAATTTCTCAGAGCAAGGGAAAATTTAATTAAACATTTAATAAAATATTTAATTTCAAATTCAAATAGAAAACACGTAAGCAAATATGCTATACTGTTTGAAGCATATGTTTTTGGTTATGATTTGTGCAAAAAATGTGTAAAATAAATAGGATTTATAAAAACCGCAAATTTTAATTATGCCAAATAAAGTATAAAAATGTTAAATAATATCAAACAAACCAATTAAATACAAATAAATAAATAAGTAGGAATAGTTTAGTTATACAATCTTATATTTGTTATATAGTCGCTATCAAATTTTATCTAACCGATTTAAAATGTTCGTCTATGAGGAAATTGTCTTTGTGAAGATCAAAAATGCAGCTTAATGGTATACATGCGTATACTTGTTATAATTATACAATATCATTCATACGCCTACATATCGGATCTAAGGAAACTTGCTGGTTTTTTTGAAACGTTTCAATAAATTCCTATTTTTATAGAAAAATTATTCAAAAAATCCTTATAACTGAAGAATTATGAACTAAACAACACGCTTCATTGATTATTGAATAATAACGTACATTTGTATGTAAATCCTTTAAATCCGATTTTATGAAATTGCCGGAAAAAAAATCAATTAAAATTCTATACACGATAAAATATAATAATTTAAATTGAATTAAATTTTAAGCCATTTGTTAATAGACAATATCCATAATAGAGTGTCCAGTGGACAACTTTTTTTTACAGGCACAGCTCTCAAAAGATGCGTTTTACCATACTGAATTTTGAAAACGTGCAATTTGTCAAAAAAAAAGTTTCATCTATTTTATCGAAATGTATTCTAAAAACTTCCTAATTTTGAGTAACTGAGGTATTCCAGTTAAAGTTTTGAAAATGGATTCCTCAACTCCTCCAGCGGCGGCTCTATTTGGGCTCAAAGTGGGGTACCTTCGACATTTTTTGAGCGAAATTTCTTTAAGAACATTTAACAATTTTATATTTTTCTGAAAGATATCTTTACCACAAATTTATGTAACAAACAAGTAAACTTTTTTGAATATGACGCTCCTATGCCCTTTCAAATTTAACATATTACACCACTATAGTGGGGAGGGTATTATGCGTTTGATCTGATGTTTGTAACATCCAAAAATATTGATTCTACACTATTCAAATCGGCTCAGAATCACTTTCTGAGTCAATTTAGCTGTATGTCTATCTGTCTGCCTGCCTGTCTGTATGTCTGTCTATCTGTCTGGCCGTCTGTGTGTAAACTTTGTGCGTACGCTACAGGTTGCAAAAATAAGGTTGAATTGGTGATTAGTGTAGGGTATCATGGTGATTAGTGTAGGGTATCGGTCATGCCCGACTATACATTCTTACTTGTTTTACAAAAATTTCAACTTTGAGCCACATGTTCTAAAATCCCAAAACTGGAAACGGAAAGCAGTTTTGGAAGCCTTGATGTGTTCCAGGCATGGGGGTAATGATAAAATTTTTAATTACAATTACATTTGATGTAATTGTAATTGAAGCTTTACCAATTACAATTACTTTTAATTATAATTATAGTTTTGCCAATTACAATTATTTGTAATTGTAATTGAATGTTAGCAAATTACAATTACTTGTAATTGTAATTGAAGTTTTGCTAATTACAATTACTTGTAAATATAATTGAAGAATTTCCAATTACAATTACTTGTAATTGTGAATTTTGTTCCTTACAATTACATGAAATTTGTAATTTGTAATACCTAAATTACAATTACCAGTAATTGTAATTGGTAAACTTCAATTACAATTACCAGTAATTGTAATTGGTAAACTTCAATTACAATTACAAGTAATTGTAATTCATTATTGGTCAATTACTCATTACAAGTAATTGTAATTGGAAAAACTTCAATTACAATTACAAGTAATTGTAATTGGTTATTACTCAATTACACATTACAAGTAATTGTAATTGACCATGTAATGAATTAATTTGTGTAATCATTACCCCCCATGCCTGATGTGTTCCCCATTAAACCCCATAGTTTTTTTCCCAGCCCTAAAAGAAATGTGGACTCTATGGGCAGTTAATCCAAATTTAACCCAAAATACATTTTTTTAGATAAGTAAATTTTTGTTGTTACAAAAAAATACAGGCTAATATCTCATTTTGATTCTAAATACACCCATTTAAATGTAAATCCTTCAATAATTTTTATTTCAAAAACATTTTTATTCCACCCCAATGTGCATAGCTAAATGAAACATAATTCTTACAGTCAAGTATTCATCCATTCAGTAAAAGATTCTCTGACTAGATTTCTATAAACAAGAATCGGTGTAAAATAAGCAATTTTTGTTGAATATAATTTGTTTCATAGTTTTAGGAATAAATATTTTAACAAACTTAATAATTGTTAAACAACCTTAAAATATTAATAAAAATATCAGTCAATATACTTAGTAAAAGGAAAGCAAGAAACTCCTAAAAATTCCCCTATAACTATGAAACAAAGTATAATTTTTAAATTATATACATTAAATTCATATTTGTTTAATACAATCAATTAATCTTTTTGTACACTTTTTTGTTGCAATTGTTTATCACTAATTAATTTTAATAATTTTTTCTCTGGGAATTCTTCTTAAATAATAAATATGTTAGTTTGTCCTTTTTTTGTGTATAAATATTGCTAATGATTTCATAATTAATTAGACGTATTTAAAAATATAATCCCAATTTTTTAAGTAATTAGGATTAATAACAATAAAAACATATTAAATATTAAAAAAGAAAAATGAAAAAAGTTAAAAAAATTAATAAAATTATTTGCTTAGGATATGACAAGGATAATAAAGAGTATTTTTGGAATTGTTAATTCGCTTTGTTTTAAACTAAATTTAAATTTGCTTTAGAAATTTAAATAAATTTTGTTAGTTATTTGTTTAACTACTTAAAGTTATAAATAAAAATTTAATAATGATTTGTTTAACGCTCACCCTGTAATCCAGTTGCTCATATACAATATGTATGTTTGTGTGCGTGTTGAAAAGTATGTTGAAGGATAATTGCTGTGTTTTTGTGTGTGTTACTAAAAAAACTTATAGTTGTTATAGTAGTGGTAGTGTAAATGGCGTCTGTTATTTACTAGTATATACACATGTAAATAGTATCTTGTTGTTGTTTAGTTTAATATGTAGTCGGTGTTTTTGTTGTTTGCAGTTTTTCAGTTTTCCAATTGAGTTGTTTTTGTTGCTTTATTCTAAACTAATACTGTTTCCATTTGCTTGCTATCGCCCGTTCTTGTCGCTGTGTCCAGTGTCTCTACAACAATTGTGGTAGATGCCACTGTTACCGAATCTCAGGGACCATACGGTGTAATCGTTAGTGAAGTCGCATCTGCTGAGCCGGATACACAACATACTAATGATGAGGCATAATCGCTGGTACGTTTTGTTGGTCAAATCGCAGACACCTGCTCCAGTTCAGCCGACGAACGACCCGAGTTCATGGCCACCACATGTTTGGAGGCATAATCCGTAACAAAACGATCACTATTACGTGGATGTATATTGCCAATGTCTTGATTACAACACCAGGGATTACGTGTCGTTAGGATGCGTTTGAAAGCATCACGAAATTCCTTGTTGAATATCGAATAGATTATGGGATTGAAGGCGGAATTTGAATAGCCCAACCATGAGAGTATTTTAAATGTTTGTCCCCCAATACATGTCTTACAAAAGGCAGCCACAATATTGACACAAAAGAAGGGCACCCAACAGATGAGAAATACACCCATTATGACGCCCACCGTCACGGCAGCCTTGTGGTCCGACACATGGTACGGTGAACTATGATGCAGGTTGCGTACTTTAAACTTTTTCTTTTCTTGGGGTTTGGTACGTCGTATACTTTTGTAACGTTGCTTTTCCGCCACCTCACCTGGCCTCGTTACAGCCTTGATGGATTTGACGTGTTTTTGAGCATAACAGTAAAGTCTGCAAGTAAATAAAAGTAAAGTAAATTTTAAAATTAAAAAAAAATATGTTTCCCAAAAAAACTCATGCTTGTAATAATGTTAAATGTTACGGCAAAGTAGTAAGTAGAAAGAATATTTAATGAGCATAATTTATGACAGGTTCTATTTTGCCTTAAAATAGATTTTTTCTTCTTGCAAAAAACAGCACATTATTTCGTTTAAATATGGCTAAAGAGAATGATGAATATTTCCGCTGCTTTAAAAAGTCCATGGGTACAATAAAAATGCAAAAAAAGTAAGTTCCTTTTTTATTGAAAGCTACTATATATGTACGTGGTGGGGCAAAATTGTCTAACAACCCAATAGAAAGGAACAACTTTTATTTAATCATGGCATTTAGGGGAAAAATTGCCAGTACGTGTTAGTGAATTTATTTAAAAAGGTCTAAAACAAATATTTTTTTAAAATTCTGTAAGTAAATAAAATTAACTGGTTTTCGTTTGAATTTCTATTGTGATTAAATTTAAAGAAAATATTGGTTAATCGATTAAAATCGATTCCTAAAAGAATGAAACTGAAATATGGCATTTTATAATATTTTTTCAAGTCAATGGCCTTAAGCTTATATAGGTATAATTCAGGAGAGGAAGAATTTTAGATTTGAAATATTCCGAATTCCGTACTACAACTACCATCGTTTTCTCATAAAATCTAAGCGATTAAGGAATGGATATTAAGGTGAATGACTTCGACCACCATTGTTTTCTCATAAAATGTAAGCGATATGAAGGCAATGGATATTTATTCAAAAAGGTAGTTAGTTAGTCAGTTAGTTAGTTAGTTAGTTAGTTAGTAGTTAGTTAGTTAGTTAGTTAGTTAGTTAGTTAGTTAGTTAGTTAGTTAGTTAGTTAGTTAGTTAGTAGTTAGTTAGTTAGTTAGTTAGTTAGTTAGTTAGTTAGTAGTTAGTTAGTTAGTAGTTAGTTAGTTAGTTAGTAGTTAGTTAGTTAGTTAGTTAGTTAGTTAGTTAGTTAGTTAGTTAGTTAGTTAGTTAGTTAGTAGTTAGTTAGTTAGTTAGTTAGTTAGTAGTTAGTTAGTTAGTTAGTTAGTTAGTTAGTTAGTTAGTTAGTTAGTTAGTTAGTTAGTTAGTTAGTTAGTTAGTTAGTTAGTTAGTTAGTTAGTTAGTTAGTTAGTTAGTTAGTTAGTTAGTTAGTTAGTTAGTTAGTTAGTTAGTTAGTTAGTTAGTAGTTAGTTAGTTAGTTAGTTAGTTAGTTAGTTAGTTAGTTAGTTAGTTAGTAGTTAGTAGTTAGTTAGTTAGTTAGTTAGTTAGTTAGTTAGTTAGTTAGTTAGTTAGTTAGTTAGTTAGTTAGTTAGTAGTTAGTTAGTTAGTTAGTTAGTTAGTTAGTTAGTTAGTTAGTTTAGTTAGTTAGTTAGTTAGTTAGTTAGTTAGTTAGTTAGTTAGTTAGTTAGTTAGTTAGTTAGTTAGTTAGTTAGTTAGTTAGTTAGTTAGTTAGTTAGTTAGTTAGTTAGTTAGTTAGTTAGTTAGGTAGTTAGTTAGTTAGTTAGTAGTTAGTTAGTTAGTAGTTAGTTAGTTAGTTAGTTAGTTAGTTAGTTAGTTAGTTAGTTAGTTAGTTAGTTAGTTAGTTAGTTAGTTAGTTAGTTAGTTAGTTAGTTAGTTAGTAGTTAGTTAGTTAGTTAGTTAGTTAGTTAGTTAGTTAGTAGTTTAGTTAGTTAGTTAGTTAGTTAGTTAGTTAGTTAGTTAGTTAGTTTAGTAGTAGTTAGTTAGTTAGTTAGTTAGTTAGTTAGTTAGTAGTTAGTTAGTTAGTTAGTTAGTTAGTAGTTAGTTAGTTAGTTAGTTAGTTAGTTAGTTAGTTAGTTAGTAGTTAGTTAGTTAGTAGTTAGTTAGTTAGTGTAGTTAGTTAGTTAGTAGTTAGTAGTTAGTAGTTAGTTAGTTAGTTAGTTAGTTAGTAGTTAGTTAGTTAGTAGTTAGTTCGTAGTTAGTTAGTTAGTTAGTTAGTTAGTTAGTTAGTTAGTTAGTTAGTTAGTTAGTTAGTTAGTTAGTTAGTTAGTTAGTTAGTTAGTTAGTAGTTAGTTAGTTAGTTAGTTTAAATAGGGATCAAGGGACCCAACTCAAAAAATCGATTTGACTAAATTTGCACTAAGATTATTTCTATTGGATAGTACGCACAAATTTTCAGCTCTGTCGGTCAAGAACTGCCGGACTTAGAGGGGGTAAAAGTTGAACATTGTGGTCATACAGCGTTTTATTCAAATTAGTATAACTTTCCTATTGGTCCTAGCAAAACTCGTCCAAAGGAGTTGAGATAGCTATTTCTTCATTCAATTTTTTTTTTTTTCAAAATGGGCCCCTTTTTGTCATACAGAAAGCTTATACAATTTCGTTGAAGGCCTTTATAGTCCCATAATGGTCCTAGAAAAACTCGTCCAAAGGAGTTGAGATAGCTATTTCTTCATTCAATTTTTTTTTCAAAATGGGCCCTTTTTTGTCATACAGAAAGCTTATACAATTTCGTTGAAGGCCTTTATAGTCCCATAATGGGATGAATAAAATTTTTCAAAATGGACTTTTTTATTGTATTTTTTTTTTGCTCAAAAGAAAGCTTAGACCATTGCCTTTAGGAGCTTTGTGATTACTTAGTGGGATGTGAGTGGGATATATGTATGTATATAAAAAAATTTTGATTTAAAATATTACTTTTTTTCTCATATGCCCCTTGCATCCCACTAAGTGACCACAAAGCTCTTAAAGGAAATAGTCTAAGCTTTCTTTTGAGTAAAAAAGAAATACAACAAAAACGTTCATTTTGGGAAAATAGGGGAAAATTTAGTGCCAAATATTGAAAACAATTTTATTGTTGAGTTAAAAAATAAATTTTTTGATAGATATCCCACTCGCATCCCATTATGGGACTATAAAGCCCTTCAAGGGTAAAAGCTTTCTTTTAAAAATAATTTTAAAAAAATGTAAAATTTTTTTTTTTTGGAAAGAATGAAGAAGTGGCTATCTGAACTCTTTGGACAATTTTTGGAAATTGAATGAGCTTTCTTTAAGCAAAAATACTTTTAAAAAAATAATTTGAAAAAAATTAAAATTTTTTTTGAAAGAATGAAGAAATAGCTATCTGAACTCCTTTAGACATTTTTTTCAAGGAGCAATAGGTGAAAAGTTGCACTCATTTTAATAAAACCCTGTATGATCGAAATGACCAACTTTGACCCCCTCTGACTCCCACAGTTCTTGACCGATAGAACTGAATGTTTGTGTTCGATAGTACTAACCTTGGTGCAAATTTCATCCAAATCGGAAGACAACGATTTTTAAAGTTGGGTCACTTGACACGAAATTCCCCATTATACTTACGCGTAAGGTTTTCTGGAAAACATTGTTAATAATGAATTAAAGTTGGTAGACAATTTTTTAGCAATATTTTTTAAATTTCGAAAATTGGTGATCGCTATAAATTTAATATTTTATCCACAAAGTATTTCTATCGACCTTAGCAGATAAAATTTCAACAGCATCTACTCTTTCATATAAAACACTAACCCTGAGCTTTAACATCTGCTACTTAATAAACCGTTTAAATAATTTCAGTTTAATTTTGTAATTTGTCTTTTTCATCCCGCCCAGACAAGAAAACAAATAAATCTTAGACAAGGCATTAAAAGGAATCAAAATAAAGCAACCGGAACTGTTTTCCTTTTTAGATTTATTCATCATACAACCCTTTTGTAACCAACATTTGTAAGATGAATTAGACTAATTAGTTTTATTGAAGCTATTAAATTTTTTTTAAAGTTCGTGACAGTTTTTTTTTAATATTATGTCGGAAATAAATTGTACAAGTGTTATATGATAAAAAAAATAAACATATCTTGAGAATATTTTTGTGGAAGAATATAACAACAGATTGTTAGAACATTCATACATACATATCTATGTGCATTTAGATTATACAAACTTTCAAAGAGCAAAATATCGAATACTTATTGCTTACTCTGGAAAAAAATGTATGCCAATGTAAATATTTTATTTCATTATTATTACAAACTTATCGCCCATAATTATTAAATACTGAGAAAATTATATTTTGTCTAAACAATTTAAATTTACTTTCATAATCTGCAAATGACGTTTCTTAAAATTGCACTTAATATGCATTCTTTTATTTAGGATAATAAGTATGTACAAGGTACATTTAAAATTGTAAATTAAATAATTCCCATAAAATCGTACCTACATTATTCTTAAGTCATGTAATGTCGATTTTACTCTTAAATGTATAAAAACTTTAGCCGTAATCCAAAAACCTTGACACATTTACAATCCCCACCCCCCCCAAATATTCAACAATATCAAACATTTCATAACATTGATGAAATGGACACATTTGTAAAATTTATTTTTTGCTTTAAGTCTTTGGAAATTACATCTTTTTTCACTAAATAACCACAAATTCTGTAAGTTTTACAAACCAAACACATTCATTACAAATACATATACATAACCTATACATTGTAAGTAATCACCTTGACATATTTTTTGACATCACCGTATGACAAATATAATTATTAAGAGTTGAGCAAAAAATTATGGTCTATACACAGATGTTGGCCATTCAATACAATTGACCGTAAAAATATTGTTACCAATAAAAAAAAAAAAATAAAAAAATAGAAGAAAATAAAGTAAAATACAAAACACATATAAAACTGACCTCAATATTTATACCGAATGATACATTGGGGATCATTTATGAATTATTTGTAACTTTAACATTTAAGTAGAATGATATGACTGAAAGCATGAGTTGACAATAATACTAAGTAATAGCAATATTTAATAATAACCAAAAGTCTTCCACTAATACTAAAAGTATTTCTGGATACGTATGTTTGTTCTGAGGTTAATTGAAATGAAATTGGTGCCAGGACTAAATAACAGGAAAACGGGGGAAAGGGGAGCAGGAAGGGGGAGAAGGGGGAGGGCGGGACGAACGA